CCCCGCAGAGGAGCCCAGCACCGCTGCCTCTCCCATCCCTCCTCCACCTCCCGGGAGGCGCTCGCCTTTTGGAGAACCCTTAACTAACGAGGCCGTGAATTAATTAACCGAGCTCACGGCCCAATTCACGCCCGGTGGGACCCGGCAGGACCAGGGGCTGCCAGTGGCACGCGTCACGGGGCGCAGGGACACGGGGAGGGGACACCTCACCTTGGTGACGGCGACGATGGTGAGCACGTCTCCTTTGCTGAAGGGCAGGTCCTGCTCGGCGGTACCGTGGAAGTTGTACTTGGCGATACATTCTGTACCGGATGGCCACACGGCCTGGCAGGAGCAGGGGGTGCCATCAGAGCCCTGCCTCAGCGTGCCACCCACCCCTGGCACCCCCCTGACCCTCGGGGACCCCCTCGCAGATGAGAATGCAAACGGGGTCTACTTAAACCAAGTGTCCCCACGTCCCTCCTGGGCGCTGGGGACACCTCTGTGTGGCCCCATCCCCTCCTCTCCTCAGCCAGAGCTTACCTGCATCCCTGACATCTTCTCAGGAGGGTGGGGGAGCGACTCTCACAGGGGGGACACGTCACTTGGTACCATGAGACCTGCATGGGGGGAAAGGACGGCTGAGACAGCGGGAACGAGGCGCAGGGAGGATGCAGCACCCCCCAAAGGATGCTCTCAGGCCAGGTGAGCATCTCTTCTCCCTCCAAGAACGGGTCCTGCGTCCAAAATATCCCCAAACTGAGGTGGAAGGGGGAGCTCCGGGCCTGCTCAGCCCCTGCAGCAGGGGAGGGAGCAGCTGCTCACCCGGATGAGGAGGCATTTGCACGGATCCAGCTTCTTAAGAACTGAGTTTTTGAGTGCAGCATCTGCATCAAGGAAAAGTCCAGCACAGCATGGACGGGCGGAGATGCCCAGAGAAGGGAAGGGAACAGAGATGACCTCCAGAAGGTCCATCCCACTCCTCTCCCAGGCCACACAGCCAGAGCCCTGCTCTCCCTGGTGACCGACACGCGGAAACATCCAGCCCCGAGAGCTTCCCAGGCCTGGGATCCAAAAGAAATAAACCAAAACTGCTCCCTGCAGCATAAAAAGTGCCGGGACTCTGGAATGTGCAGCTCCTAAAGCCCAGGGGGATGTGCTGCCCGGGGTGCTGTGCTCTGGGATGGGTGTGTGGGAGGGAGGGGAACAAACCCGGCTTTATTCCTGCTGCTCCAGCCCCCGGCACGGGATGAACTCAGCGGCCCCACAATCAAACCAGGCTTTCTTGGGCTGGGGCATCGGGGTCGTGCTGGGCCGGGGCTACAGAGTGGGGGACACAGGCAGAGCAACCCCCAAAACCCACCCAAACATTTGGGAATCCATCACCTCCATGGGGGTCACCACCGGCAGCCCTGCCGCGGTGTCAGGCAGCGCCCGGGAGTATTTTGGGAAGGAGGAAGTGAAACGAGGGGCAAGGCCGAGGACAGGAGGAGGAAGGAGATAAGGGGCAGAGCTGCGGGAGGAAGAGCGCGGTGAGAACGTGGCCCTGTTTCCACCACGTGCCCCCAGCGCTCCGGAAAAGGCGTCACGCCGCCAGCCAGCACCTTCCCCCAGCGCGGGGACACGGCGCCCCGCTGCTGGCAGAAATCGAGGCTCGGGTGTTCGCCCCAAAAACAGAGCCTGGGCACCCGAGCCGGGTGGGTTCCTCGCCAGCCAGCCCCGGGACAGCTGGAGATGGCACCCAAAGCCAGCTTGGTGGCACCTTGGGGACACTGCCAGGAGTGCCAGGATGCAGGGGAGCACCAGCTGGGACCCACAGCTGGGAGCAAACATTCCCAGCTCCACCCAGAACACTCCCGTGTTGTTTCAAGTTGATTTTTGCTTAAATTTTGGATTTACACCTGGCACGGAACAAAAATTTCAGCCAAGGGTCTGGATGGCCCCGGTCTGAAACACAGCATCAGCAAACCAGGGAATAAACTCCGCTCTACATCCCGGGGAGGGGCTTAGCTGATGCCTGGGAGGAGGTTTGGGGGGAATTTCCCACCGCTGGGGCTCTCAGCCCTGTTCCCCATCCAGCGTCCCACGGGGACACCGAGCACAGGCTGGTTCTGGGTGTTGCTCAAGGAGAGCTCCAGCCCAAAGCCCTGAGTCAGCGCTTCCCACCGGCCAGGCCTTATTTCCAGACAGCCAAAAATCAGCAGGATGGAGGTTTTTGGGGATCCCTTGCACCCTGGAGCCCGTGCAAGGGATGCCCAAAGGTTCGTGCCACGTTTCCCACCCTGTACAGGAGCTGAATCCTCCCAGTCCCAAAGGTTGCTTGTTTGGGCTTTCAGCTCACGGATGTCACCGGCGTTTATATTTGATAAATGCAGCGAGGATACAAAATTCATAGCCTGCCTTCACAGAGAAAATTTCTTTTCCCTGCTAAAGAGGAAACTTCCTGAGCAAACCCCACCAAGAACACGCTCCAGCCAGCCCAGGCTTTTTTATCTTCCCGGATCGTGGGTATTCATGGCACAGGACCGTGGCATTGTTATAATTACACACAATAAATCTGCCTTTCAGCTTTAAAGAGGGAGGTGGTTCCAACACCAGAGCCCAACACAGGCCTTCCTCTTCCGAGCTTCGTTTTCTTTTTAATCGTTGCCTAATTTCTGCCTCAAAGCCGAGACTTTCCGAGGAAGAGGAGGAGGAGGAGGAGGAGGAGGAGGAGGAAACCACACGGGGCAGATGCCAAGCAGCCCCCCAAAGGCCTCGTGTGCCAGGCAGCAGTTCCTGCCCCGTGCCACCCGGCCAGCCCTGCGCATCCCCTGGGATGCTGGGCTGGGAGAAGGACGTGGAGATGCTGCCAGAGTGGATCCAGGGCTTCAAAGCAGCATCCTGAGCCTGCTGGGAAAACGCGGGCATCGCCCCTTCTCTCCTCCAGGAGGATGTGCGGCAGCACGTGAAAGAAATTAATAATAATTTTAAAAATTAGCCAGGGAGCAGCCGGGTGGATTGGGCAGAGCCGGGTGCTGGGTTTGGCTGCTCCCAGCCCTGCCAGGCCAGGGTTTGCTCCTTCTGCAAGGTCCCCACTCCCAAACTGGGGCTCAGGATGTGCTCAAAACCAAAACCCAGCTCCCCTGCTTGCCCAGCGGAGCATCCTCCGTGCAGGAGCCCCAGCGGGGATCTCACCCCCAGGTCCATCCCATGCCTCCCCCAAGGCCCTGCTCCCAAATTTCCCGTGGGAAGGCTGGCCCAGCAGCCAAGAGCTGGGCAAGGTGGGCAGGTACGGCCAACACCTCTGAGAATCCAAAGGGCACCGGGAAATGAGCTGGGCACAGCGTTCCTCTCAGGAATCAAAATAAAATCCAGTCGTGCCAGAGCCACGGGCGAGCTGGGAGAGGAATTTGGGACCTCCACGGGAGCACCATCACCACGGGGTGGGCAGATGCTGCATCTGGGTTTCAAACCCAAGCAGGGGAGGGGGCAGCACCTGCCCAGTGCCAGGATGACTCTGTTGAAATGAAGTTTGGCTGTTGATGGCACAAAAGGCTCATTCCCAATGGGAACAGGTGTGTGGGCACCACCCACACCCACCCCTTCCGTGCACCAACCTCCCGGTGAAGTCCTCTAAACTTCAAAAAACAACCCAAAAAAAAAAAAAAAAAAAAAAAAAATGAATGAAAAAAAAAAAAAAAAACCAAAAAAAAAAAAAAAAAAAAAAAAAATCCCAAACCGACCCCAAAGCAGACAACATCCTCCCTGCCTCTGAAAGATGTTATCTGCTGTTATTACAACGAACACCTACGATTACACTAATCGAAAGAAAAATGTTCCTCCTTCATCTCGCTCGCCAGCACGCAGCGTTTCGGAACTGCTCCCCCAAACCAGCCCCTGCCGGGCGCCCTGCTGCAAAAAAGGGGGGAAGGAGCTTCTTTTTCAGGTTTTTAAAATGCTTTTAGAAGGGAAAGAGAGGATGCTGCTGGTCAGAGAGCTGGAGGCACCCGGGGGACAGGTGGAGGCCTGGAGAGAAGCTGCTCCCAGCCCCACGCTGCAAAGAGGATTTCCTGGTTCTCCTTCACCCTGCAAAAACCTCAGCAGGGCGACTTTCCACCAAAAATCACCCCAGTGTCCCCTTCCCAGGGGCTGCCACCTGGGGACGGGGACAGGGCACGGAGTGGGGCACAGGAAGGTTTTTTCAGCAAATACTCGCTCAAAACCGAAAAGCTGGGGGCAGGCAGTGGTGAAAGGGCAAAGAAGCACCCCAAAAGTCCCTCGCTTTGCAGGGGTTGCCCCACGGCTCCATCGCTCCCACGCCGCTGGTGCTCCACGAGGGAAGATGGGGACGCTCCCAAAACCTCCCGCATCCCTCCGGGGACGCTCCCAAAACCTCCCGCATCCCTC